GTTATTATCCGATAACCGAGGTGCCTCTATGGGATCGACATACTTGTCAAACCCACTTTTTCTCATAAGTCCCCGAGAATTCTGTCCTCGATCACTTCTTCAATCGTTCCGGGCGGAATTGCGTCCTGAACCATTGTTCCTTCGATCTACGGTATATGGTTGATATCGGTCTCTGTTCGACCTTGGCTCCCTGTCGACGTCCCTATGGTTTTTAACTGCTGACCTGTTTGGATGTACTGAACCAGAAGGGGCTCTTAATTGGTCTTCCTCGACCCTGATCTTCGGTTGATATCGATTGTGCACATCTGCCCAAGTTACAGCTAGATACTCTATCAAATTTTGTTTTAACTGACATGATGCTATCGAACTCCGCTCGTTCAACCCTTGGGTGAAAGAATGAATGGCCCAATCATCTGTGACCGGTGGCAACTCCATGCGTTCCATTTGAAATCGGGACACGAACTCCATCAGCATTTCATTATCCCTTTGTCTTACCTTGAAAAGGTCTGATTTCCTCGTTGAGACTTTTATGGCCCCGGCGTGTGCCTTTACGAAAGAATCTGCTAACATGGCAAATGAGTCGATGGAATTTGGTGGCAGGTTGTGATACCAAATCATTGCTCCCTTCGAAAGGGTCTCTCCGAATTTTTTCAACAGCACAGATTCGATTTCATCATCTTCTAAATCGTTACCTTGACGGCGCATGTATATGAAGTAACATGCTCGTTGGGATCGGTGGTCCCATTATATTTGGGTATGTCTGGCATACAAAATTTCTTCGGAATAGGCTTCGGAGCCACACTTGGAGGAAACGACTTTTGTACAAACTTCTTCGAATCCATCCCTTTCAAGATTGTCGGTGCCCCCGGTATCTGATCAACTCGAGAGTTGTATGTCTCCACTTTTGTATCGTTGGCTTTGATTCTCTTCTCCCCTGATTCAATTCTTTTGGTGAGCTCCTCGAGCATTTTCATTATCGCAGGATCAGCCCCCAATTCGTTACCATTCGACCTTTCCGGTACTGGCTCGGTACGGCGAGTAATTTCCGGCTCGACCCTATTCGGAGCTCTATGTTGATTTTGTAACTGAGCAATAGCGTCTTGCTGAGCCTGAAGCATCTCGAATATCACTTGGAGACTGACTCCTTCGTCTCCTCTGCTCTGTGTTCCTTNTCCGATACTGGCTCGGTACGGCGAGTAATTTCCGGCTCGACCCTATTCGGAGCTCTATGTTGATTTTGTAACTGAGCAATAGCGGCTTGCTGAGCCTGAAGCATCTCGAATATCACTTGGAGACTGACTCCTTCGTCTCCTCTGCTCTGTGTTCCTTGGCTACTAGATCGGCCTTCTTTGCGTACACTCCCATCGAGATCTGCGCCTAGGTCCGCATTTAGAGCAACGTGCAAACTGACATCGACTGGGTTGGCAACCGGTGCTCCCCCGAGATTAGCTTGTTGCACCTTGACTCCTGGAGCAATCACATATTTGTTTTCACCGTGGAATCCGCGGCCATCGTCACCGTGTGTGGATGCATTTTGTGAGTTTGACATGCTTTAACCTGAAAGCAAATATACTTGACAAGAACACGAGTAAAATAATGTGTTTTACCAGAATCAGTACTGAACAATCACTATTATCCTTAGCTCAACGGTGGACGCCAAACTGTTTACCCTAAAAATTGAGTAACAATTAAACTTATATTGTGGTTTTAAGGATATGTGATTTAAACTAGTACCAATTGATAAATAACGAATTAAATAGATAAATTGGACAATAAAATAAATCAAACCGGTCTGCAAATAATGCCTCGACCTCGATTCGAGATAGTCTCGAGGTTAGTTAATAAGAACAGTAGAGGATGGAACAAACAGCGATGAACAGTGAGTAAAACAACGAAAGCAGCGTATGTGTATATTCTTATCAGAGAATAATGATTGTCCTCTTTACAAGTGAATGGGATCACTCTTTATATAATAGAGGAATCCTAAATAAGGTACAACTCTAATAATGGAAGTAGATCCCATGATTGTCACTAATAACCGCTTTGATTTAATCTGTTCCGGAATTTTCACCGTGCTCTTCGACCGGTTACTGATATCTCGCCATTCCATTATTACGCCTTACTCGAAGTCAGTCATGCTTGATCTTGATTGTTGCTGGCCTCGATCTCAATGAACACTTTGATCTCCAGGCGTGATGTTCTATCTTCGAGCTCGAGCCCGATCTATTATGAGGTTACCCTCGAGGCAACTCCCTTGCCAACGAAATCGGGTACCGTATACACAATTAACTTTTAATTGTCACGATGCGTAAGTATTTTTTTTTGCTGTAGAGTGAATAAAATTTTTGAACTCTAGGGCGTTTCCTTTCGAACCTATAGGAAACATACTTCCAAGTAGCGATTAGTAATTTCATTACAATGTAAAGGTAATAAACTCTCACTTTGTATTTAGTAATTTTTCTTCTTTTACCATTATTTTCCTAGATATCCGTGTCGTGATCAGAGTTAACAAAGTAATTTGGGGTGCCGTGAGAAAAGTTTGCAGACTTGGGGTGTGTTTTGTACGGAAGAAAATATTTTTTATGTAAAATATTTTCCTCGAAAATATTTTTCTGGAAATGAGTGGTTTTATCAGATATTTTTTCTTGTTTGGTTGATGAGTGAAAAATATTTTTTGAAAAATATTTTTTAGGAAATCCCCATGTTTCATGTGCTCCCCATCCCCCTTCCTCCAAATATCCGACGTATTCAAGACTATATTTCCTTCAAGAATTTAATTATTATTTTAAAATTCATACAAATCCAAAAGAACTAATGTGCTGCTTTACATTTTCACGCAGAAACAATATTAAAATTTATGCTCCATAACTATAAAAAATACTCTTTTTTTGTTTGAAAAAGAAAGTACTTTTTCTACAACATAAAAAAAAAACTACTCATTTTGTTGAAATTAAAGAAAATACTTTTTCTACATCATAAAAAGAAAATGCTCATTTTATTGAAATAAAAGAAAATATTTTTTCTAAATAATGAAAAGAAAGTACTTTTTTTATTGAAATAAAAGAAAATATTTTTTCTAAATAATGAAAAGAAAGTACTTTTTTTATTGAAATAAAAGAAAATACTTTTTTTACATCATGAAAAAAAATACTCATTTTGTTGAAATGAAAAGGAAAGTACAGATCTACAACATGAAAAGAAAGTNGGGGAGTGGGGGTGGGAAATAGGGTGTCGAAGGTTGAAAAAGAGTTTTGAAAAATATTTTCCATTCTCTCGATAAAGAAAATATTTTCCTCCAATTGAAGAAAAATGAGCTCATGAGGAAAATATTTTCTAAAATATTTCATCCAACAACACGAGAAAAATTAAAAAATATTTTCCGAAAAATATTTTACCTCACCAATCACACTCTTAAATAGACGGAATCTATATGTTTCGGCTACCTGTAAAAGATCATTAAATTCAAAGAAAAACATTATAAGCTAACACAACAAGCGATTACTGACTCTTTTATTTTGAAACTTCTTTTTATTTGGTCAAGAAGGGTAGATTAATTTCGAGGACGAAGTAAAAAAAAAATTAATTCGCACCTTGATTGCAATGACGAAAATAACCTTCACACAATTGTCCTTCACCCAGCAATAATTTTATACCTTACTATTTTTAGCATTGTGATCGATTCAACAACGAGCATCAAAGAAAGGACTAACGAAGTTGTTACTTGTTTATGATTAACTACATTATCAAGAGGGTCTTGATAGACTCTGATGAAAAAGAAATTATTTGTACATTATATAAAGTGACAAAGGAATAAGTTCAATCTAATACTGTAGTTATTTACTTCAATTTTCACCAGTAAATTTTAATCTAGTGTTTTATTCTATACGCTAAATAATATTTCATCGGTTTTCAGCATAACCCTCTTAGCAGAATTAGTAACATATATTTATGTCTTCCTTTGCTTTTCTGCACTTTGTGATCATCTTCAACGTAATGGGCATAACGAAAACAAATAGGAAGAATCACTCCGCTGCATTTAGTTGGAAATTACATTCATATGTATTATTCAATATGATTGTGGATACGATACAGCAGACCAGCAGCCTTTGCTGCAGAGATAGTGGCCTAAGCATCCACATTTAGCAATCTTATAATAGATTAATCAAAATCCACAACTTTGTATTGGATGTAATCGAAATCATTCCACTATCTCCTATTTTATCTCTTAGAGTGGTAACTTTCTCACAACTATGTGCTAATCCTTGTAATCAAATCAATCTAGATCTATTAGTTTAATCATAGATATCTCAATAAAGCATTACCTCATAATTTAATTATTCCTAATGTTGAAAGTTACAGATCTCCGTTATCCAACTTGAATCAAGCTAATATACTTGATTTATCAGGATTCAACCTCTTCTTGACCGGAAAATATGCATCGCTTCCGCTTAAACAAATTTAAAAATTAAAAATAAGTTCAGAAATACACCTCAAATGGAGGATCGGATGCTCAAGGGGAGGGGTAAAACCTTGAAAGCAACTTAAAGTAATTAATTAATCACCCACAGTGTAGTTTACTGTTTCCTTTCTTCTCTGCCATAGCACACATTGTTTATGCACGTTACAAATGAGAAAACGTGACCCTACCCCAACTAACGTAAATTAATTAAATTAATTAAGTGAAATTCAACAAATATAATGAACTATTGTATGGGGGAATTGTATGAAACTGAATTGGATTCCCAACCAGAAGTCTTAAGAAAAATAAATAAAGAAAAATAAGTAGAGTCGTCATATATATGTTATATTTGTTCAGTATACATATGGAATATGGGAGACAGCAGAAGCACACTAACAAGTCTACTAGGGAGAATTGAAACCAAACTTGTGATAGTGTTGGTGGATTATATTGGACCACCTTGTAGGGACTAAAGTACCTCTTCTCCTTTGCTCTTTATATGTGCTTTTTTGCATACACGCGCTTTTCCTATCCTTGGAAACATCTATAAATAGCCTTTGTTCAGTCCATACATTCTTAAGTCGTGGTTCTAGGATATATTCAACTGTATACCTGGCTATGGCAAAGTGTAGAGTTCTTAACATTGTTTTCTTTCTGTTATTGGGTATAGGAATATGTGCAGCCGCAAGAACCCTCATCAATCTTGATGTTGGTGTTGGAGCCAAGGTTGGCGTCTATGCTGGTGGCGGTGGAGGAGGTTCCGGTAGAGGTGGAGCTGTAGCCGGTGACCATGGTGGTTATGCTGGAGGAACTGGTGCTGGTGAAGGTGGTGGCAGCGGATATGGCGCTGGAGGGGCGCCAGGAGGCGGATATGGTGGTGGAGGCGGTGGAGGTAGTGGTGGTGGTGGTGGAGCTACGACAGGTGGAGCACGTGGTGGTGGATATGGTGGAGGTGAAGGAGCAGGTGGTGGTAGTGGCTACGGAGCTGGTGGTGCATCAGGCGGTGGATATGGAGGGGGAGGCGGCCACGGAGGTGGTGGTGGAGGTGGTTCTGCAGGGGAAGCTGGAGGAGCTGAAGGAGCTGGTGGCGGATACGGAAGCGGTGAAGGTGCCGGTGCCGGTGCAGGGGGAGCACATGGAGGAGGATCCGGTGGAGGCGGTGGAGGTGGAGCCGGCGGAGGAGGAGCCTATGCTGGTGGGGGTGGACATGCAGGTGGATATGGTGGGGGTGAAGGAGGTGGTGAAGGGGGTGGACATGGTGGTGGCTATGCTCCTTGAGAGCTAATTCTCTTCAGTAACTGCATACACTAAAGGATTTCCTCTTCTTATCTAATATTATTAAAAATAATGTATCAAAAATTCAAACTGCGTGGTAAGAAGAGATCTAATTTATGAACGCAAAACTGTTCAGCAAAGAAAAGTGCACTTAATCTACGTGTACTCTTGGTTCTTTTAAAAATTAACGTATGAAAGATTTTTATATATATAGATGTCAGTGCAGTTTGACGCATTTTAATGTAAGAAAATGGTTTGGCAAATCCTGTGTACGTTCTCTGTACATTGTGCATGCATGCTATACATGGCAACAATATATACTACATTGGATGATCTCAATATTACAGGTGAGAAGAACATAAGGAATGCTATTTCAGGAGTAATAACTAATGAAAGAAAAGCAAAGCGTAAGAGGAAGATGTTGCCCTTAAAGTAGTAGTATACTGCAAAGAACAAGAGGAAAAAGGTTCCAGTCAAATTGGCACAAGGATCTCCTCATAGTAACTCCACTACGATAGAAACCGACAATGAGTTTACGAAGACCCTCCAAATTATAAGAAAATAAAACTACGCACTAGAATGATTCATATGGTGGTTTACTTATCCTATATAACATCTAAACTTGATAAATCTAGCACGACTTCACTAGGGATTGTTTACCCGTAAAACAGTATAGTTAAATTTGTTATGTGGTTTATAGACAAACGAACTGATTTGATCCAAAAATGATAGAGAAATAAGAGTAAAAATGAGTTTTAGTAATTGAAATTGAAAGAGATGACAAGCCTGGCTCCGAGCACAATGCCTCCGAGGACAAAACTGAAAGCAATATAAAGAACAAGTAAAGTTGTTTAATTGAAAGCAAATGTAAAATACAACATATGTTTTCAAAAGAATTTTCATGTCTTAAAATGGCTGTTGAGCCTACTATTTATAGCTTTATCTAGAGAAGCATGATCTTAGGATCAATCTCCTCTTAAATGATAATAATAAGAGTCATTGATGAATATGTAATGGCAGACCATGTATATAAATATTCGTTGTAACGGTTGCTCATTTAATGTGAACGAATATTCTCTCATTGAATGCTATCCGATGACAAATACTTGATCTGCTCCCACTGACCACGCTCCTTTCGGGATTCACCCGATGTCGATTGCAGTTGTATCTGGTACTGATTGTTACTTGACTCGTCTTTTACCTGTCTTCGGTTCCACGTATCATGCTATCATTCGACCATTTACTATAAACCAATTTAACCCCATATAGATAGTCCCCCTGCTTTCCGGTGACATATCTTTGTGTTACGGGGAAGTTGGTGAAGATTACTTTCTTGGCAAAAAAGTTCCTGAATAGTCTCTAACGCTTGAAAAGACGCACGTCTTCTCGCATTTAATACCCCGAATATGTGTTGTCCCATGATTCAGCAAATAATTTTGCCAATTTTTGAGATAATCATGGCCACGATTTTTGTCGTCTATATCTTCACTTCTACTTATTACTTTACTTCTTTCTTAAAAAGATTTAGTTTTCAGAAGTCCTCCTTCTTCTCTGCACTTACTCTGCGTTTGCTTAGAAAGTTTTCCATATTCTTCAACGCTCTTAGCAAAAGTTTTTTCTGACCCACTATTACCATGGTGTCACGACCCAAACTGATGGGCCGCGATAGGCACCCAGTACCTTTTCAATCGAGTACCAACATAACGTATCTTTCGTATCATTCCACCATAGGTAAATGAATCGGAGTAAAGCATGAGGGAATAAACTTATACATATGACATACTGGCCTATAAGACCTAAAACGATCACTCGTACACTGAACATAGGCCGACAAGGCCATACAACCTTTCATATATATGACATCTATCTACAAGCCTCTAAGAATACATAATTGTCATAAAGGTCGGGATAGAGCCCCGCCATACTAAACAATACACATCTAAATCATACTGATCAAACAAGCAACTCCGGAGCAAATGGAGTACACCAACATCTTTCACTAAGCTGATCGCCTACTTGGAGGACTCTCGACCTGTCTATCGAGACCTACGGACATGAACGCAGCGTCCCCCAGCAAAAGGGACGTCAGTACGAATAATGTACCGAGTATGTAAGGCACATAAATAAGTACATAAAATACATGGAAGAAATATAGAGTAAATGACTCAACCTGTAAGTCTGGACAACTCTGTAAATCATGAAATACTTATAGTATCATGCATATGCATATGAATGTCATGTCGTGCATAAGTACATGTGTTGATAATATCATCAAGCCTCTGAGGGTATCCCATCATATCATCTCGGCCACTGTGGGCAAAATCATCAACGTATACTAGCTGATCAGGTGGTGGTGCGTATATAATGTCGTAACCTTTTTCCATATCCCATATACATATAATATACCTATATATATGCATATATAACACCGTCTGGTTATGGGTTAATGTACATGTATAAATGAATGCAATGCATGAGAAGTACGTCAATAAAATCTCTCGGAACGTCATAAGACCATTATACCTCTAATTAATATCATGAAACAAACTTCATCAACTTACGTATTTTCTGAGACCCATGAACAGGCTATAGAATAATAAGACATATGAGAATTCAAGAACATAGGCATAATACTTCTATGAATAGAGTCATTTATGGAAGTTGTGCATTTACTCGTTTCGTTCGTGTCGCATAGATCATGCCAAAAAGAAATAAGGGATAGCCTTAACATACCTGAGTCGATTCTCTTGACAATCCCTCTAACATACGTAAATTGCGACAACACGTAATGACAAGATCGGAGTAGAAAACAATTTGTATGATATTCTTGAGAAAGATTGCATCGTACTCCGTTATAATTGCAAAATCTCACTTTGATTTGAATTGTTGAAGGTCTTGCGTTGCTTATATGCTATATGGAGATGCATATAAAGTTATAGATAATAACGTTATGTAGATGTGGATAATAATGTGAGTCATAAGACTCTTAAGTTTAGATTTCATATACATGAATGTGGGCCCCACTTTATGTGGTGGCTTAACCACATATCCTTCATCTTTGCCATATAATCCACAAGATTTAAGAGTCAAAGGTCTTGGGTGGCTTGCTGCCACGTTAAGGATCTTATCCAATAATTAGCAACCAATTATCTTAATTAATTATTAATCTCCCACTAAATTCAATAATTACCCGATTATCCATATAATTAAGAATTATCTCAAATTACTTATAATACTACTCACTTTAAACATACCTTATACACCTTACTATCATGGCCATGTGGTACCTTGTATGGTACTAGTCCATAAATACCGGGTATTTTAGCTCGGGCCGTATTTTATCCCAAAATGTCAAACTTCGACGAAATTCATTTTCTTTGATTTGCTTACTCTCTCAACTTCATGAATTTATTCATCACTTGTTTGAAATAACTTAATGCTTATAATCTCAAAATAATCTTATTCTCGATCTTACGTTGATTAGCTTACGATGAAATTTTAACGTACAAAAATGTGGGACACAACATCTCATTTTTTCGAGCTTCCATCAATTTACTTATGGCGTACTTTCACGTACGAAAACATCGGGTATAACATCATTCGCCCCTTTGGAACATTCGTCCTCGAATGTTGACTGATGTACTTATTATTTTCATAACCTATGTCTTATGAATACTTTCGTACTCTCCTTGCCATCCCCACAACTGTCCTGTGAATAAATTCAAAGGCCAAGGCATTCCCCCCTTTAGGCTTCTTTCTCACACCACGACTCGTGGTCGGAATCCTCCCAATTTCGTAAATGTTGCTACCTTCTATCATGCAGCCTGTATGACCCTGACCTTGTAAATGCGCCTATGCGATTTTTCTCTCCTTTTTCCTCCAGCTTTTAGCCAATCTCCAGGCCTCACTTTATAAACATATATAGAGCTTGATAAAATGTCTCACTGGGTATCTATAGCTCTTACTTCGCTTTATCGTTACTGAGGTCTGCTACCAATCTCCGGCTTATTCTCGTTGCTTATACTATAGGTATAAGTCTAAGTCCTTTAATGCTTCCTCATTACTGTTCATCTTAAGAATGACGGCCTAATCTCATATCATACTTTGTAACTTTTATCCACCCATTATTGATTCATCTCAATATTGATTTATAATTTACCATTGATAACTTGACCTTCTATGTAATACTGCCGCTAGGGCTCACGTCTCATCGGGGAACATTTGAAATGATTAGATTGATCCACCTGGGGCGATACCATGCTTTCATAACTGTATTTCATAGCATCCCGATGTGATTTACCCTATGTGGGTATTTTAATCCTGTACAATTCATGAAATCATTAATCCATCGAAGGCCCAAACGTCATCCTTCATCTATCTTAATTACACCTTCATTCTACTACCAGGGTAGCATTCCATCTCATCTAAATGCTACTAGTCTTAGACTCCTTTGAGTTCATTTAGGAAATACTGAGCTTTCAATAACTTAGAGAAACCATCAGCTCTCTTATTTTCATGGGCTTAATCCTGAGGACTTATCCATTTTCATCACCTTCTCACTCGCCCTTTCTTATCCTTACTCCTATTTTCCTAAAACCTTGTCGCTTTTCCATACTTCAGCTTGCGACCTACACATATTTATTTATACTAACTCGCAACTTTTCTTCAACTTGCTTGCACCATAGATTTCCTTATGTTATCCTGGTACATCAAGCGAGACATCACATCATCTCAAACTCTTCTTTTACTCTCTTAACTAGACCTCTCGATACCTAGAAACCATAGGCTGGAAGATATGCCACTGATGGTGCCGCTATCATTCCTGGATACTGAATCCCAGCACTTCTAACCTTTTATCTGTAGTATGGATTATTCGCAACCTTCTGCATTTGAGTATCTCGTACGTTGTTCACCTTTACCTTACTTACCTTAAAATATTATATCACGTCTTCTATCTCTGTCATGACCTCGCTTTAACATAGGTATAATTCACATCCACAACTTGAAGCTCTATTATAATACTTGCACCTCTGGTGCATACACAATCCGGTGAGAGCTTCATACTGACTTCTTAAGAGGATGGTACACTTTTAACTGGCTTTATCGTAGAGCTGTTATAGAATATGGCTATTGTACTATCTCTCTTGTACCTCTGATATTTAAGAGTGATCCTGCAATGTTCTCAATCGCGAAGTCTATAATTTTTTGGGTCCAATAATTAGACTCATGATTTAC